TTCTTGTTAAAAACTGTAAGTCCGATTGCTTTGATACTATACATATTGTTCATTTTCTAATGATGTCTTCAGTTCTTTAATTGAAATGTGCATTGCTAACAGCGGAGCTATCTCAGCCATAGGCTGCTTGTTTTAAATAATATTATTGGATTTTTTGCAGACTGTGAGTGCTGATAACACAGAGAGTCTATTACTAGATATAGAACAGACTGTGGCTCCGAGAGCAGGCTAAAGCACCAGAGTTTAACTTAAGTGATTCTGAGAATAGTAGTGGAGTTAGTAGCAGTGATTTTAATGAAGATTATGGTGAGCATTTTCAAGTAATTGTATCATGTCATATTCGAATATTTATGTGAACGCATGTCAAAGTAATCCTTTCGTCATCTTTAACCCTTTCACCACCAGTGTCTTCTTCTGCCAAAAGTATCTAGACTTGAAAATGTCATGTGTTCTTGCAGCTATGAATAACCATAGAAACATAACATCTGATTTTTGTTTATCATAATTTGTTGGATCTTTCCATTAGGTGTCAGTAAACACCATCCGAAACGCCATCCACCATCACGTCTCTTAAATGATCTTGGCATCTTCGAAAATCAGCTCCGATCAAAGAAGAAGACACGAGCAACAGCAGTGGATCTGGAACCCATCTCAGCGTCTCTGGGAAAAATAAACCAGCAGCTTGGTGATGTGATGGGAGTGATTACGTCACACAGGTACAACCCACAGTCGTCTTCCCCTGCAGGTTTCCAGCCGTACAATGCAGCCATTATGTCACCTTGGCAAGGTAGAACGCAAAGTGCACCGGATGTTAGGTTTGATACTATCGGTATAGCTACGCCACCCGTGGAGGATACAGAACAGGGGCTTAGAAGGAAATGGCAGACCTACTTTGGAGGTAAGTTTGCATGTAAAAGTATAGAATCCCCTATGACAATAATGCTAAAAGACCTGACCTTGTTTTGGATTTCATTTCTTCAACAGACTAGATGTTTGTGTTTCTCAGTCACCCCTTGACCCATTTTGCAAAAATTTCCCACAAAGACAATTCTAAGTTTCTTATGCATGTCACTTTGTTAATAAAAAATCTTACAAGATGGCTAGCTTGTTGAATTTTTCCCCTTCAAAAAACTCACTAGCACACTTGTGTGGCTCAGAAACATAAGAAAAAACATATCCAGATTGCTGTAACACTAACCAATTTACTGATCTGGCATCAAGTTTTTGATTATCTTTGTGTTATTACTACACACACTTGCAAATAAAATGTTTGTTGTTGTAGATTACAAGCCATATAGCAGTACACCTATTGGACCCGCTGTAACTGGGAATGTACCGAGTGCTTCATTTGGAGGATACATACCTGGCAGGTAAGCAAGTCATGGCAATATTATCCCTTGAATCATAACGTGGACAAGTGAAGGAAACATTTTATTACAGAGATTTTGAAACAAAAAGTCAGAATCCACCATGAACTAGTCTATCATCTTAAACCTACGTTTAGCTATCAATAAATTGATTTAAGGATTTTACAGTAAGAATTCATATTATACTTGATTTCTTATAAAACCCTAAGAAGGCCTTAGACAGTAACATGTTGACAGGGCAGGCTTGAATAGGTGAAGTAATGACTATTATATTAACTGTATTGCAGGCAACTAGTTAGCAAGAGAGAGGTGAAAGTCAGGTTTGAAGATACCAATAGATCTAAGAATAGGACAGAGATAGGGTACAATCCTAGCTGTAGAAGTGTGGGTTATGTCAACTCCAAGAAGCAGTCAGCAACCACTGGTGCATCACAGTTAGCAACACATAGTTATGAAACTCAGGGCAGAATAAATCAAAAGATATATTGTAATGAATATTCAGAACAAGCTAGTAACAGGTATTATCAAAGCCAGGATGAGTGTAGATACAATGAGTGGGTAGGAGAGAAGAGAGTTGAGCACTTACAGGGAAAATCTAGTGTAGGCTTGGTTTTTGATGTTGGGTTAGCTGATTTAAGAAGATATCTTGATGGTGTGTCGAGGGCAAGGAGAAATGAAGCCACAAGGGCTGACTTTTATAGCAGAGGATGGACTAAGACTAGGAATTCATGTCCAGTCGGGTATGTAAACAATAACAATAATGCTGATGATATTCGTGAATCTGGGAGTAGTGATGATGAGAACAGAGATCCACTGAGAGAAAACACTGGAAATCTTGTGTCAAGGACGAGGAGAAATGAGACCACAAGGGTTGAATACTATAGCAGGGGATGGACTAAGAGTTCATGCCCTGCCGAGTATGCAAACATTAACAATAATGCTGACGATATTTGTGAATCTGGAAGTAGTCATGACGATCATGTTGGATATGTAAACAATAACAATAATGCTGACAACATTCATGAATCTGAGAGTAGTGATGAACGAAATCAAGATCCCCCAGGCGAAAGCAGTGGAACATTTGCATTTACTGATGGTGGCTACGTGAGGGTTAATGCTACAGAGTTAGAGGAAGCCTTCATCGATACTGACAATGCTAAGGATACTTTGGTACCAAGTGTGAAACCTGTTGATATATCAAAATTGAAAGCTCACTGGGAGTGGTTAGATGAGTTTACATCACATGATAGTAAACAGTGGGTTGAAGATTGCAGAGTTAGGCGTGATATACGAGTGCCATTACCGACAACACAGCTCACACCGTGGGTCAATGACTACAGGGTCAGACAGAAAGCATGCTTAGATGAAGAAGACCAACCACTTTCAATGGAAGACTTTTCTGATGTTGAAAAGTTGAGAATAGATCAGGTTGCTTCACCTGCTGACCAATACAGAGCATGTCACCTGACAAGAAATCCTGACATCTCTACCTTTCGGGATCACCATGTTTCTCCCGTGTCAGATAGAACATATCCTCTTTATGATTTAGCAGTTAATGACATGAAGCACAAATCTGATAACCTTCTGTCTGATCTAAGGAAGCAAACATTAAAGTTGGATGGTCTACACTTGCACAGGCAGAGTACAAGAAAAACAAAAACTGTTGATAACTACAAACCTGGTCGGTCACAGAATTGCAACGGGTTGCATCGCGGCGACTTAACTGTAATGGTATCGGAAAGAAATCGTCTAAAACTACACGATTGTGGAGGTGGAAATCAGAATGAACATACAGAAACAATGGCTTCTTTTAGCAGCCCTATGCAAACACTAGAGATTGGTCAAACATCTTATGATAAAGCTGGTGTTAATAGGAAGCAACAACATGTCAATATTTCTTGCCAGAAATGTAGAAAAGATAATAATAATCCACCATATTGTGATGATCCAAAGATTGGTCGTCAGCAGTTTGACAACTCGCTACAAAGATCTAGTTTTCAAAACATGTTAGATGATATACATAGACGGATAAAACATAGTCGATATGATTATGATAATTTTCAAAGAACCAACAAGTCTAAAACACTTTCGGATAGTCATAAACTGCAATCCCCAGATAGTAAGCACCTGCCTCCTCAACTCAGGGGAGCAAACATGCAGACTATGGAAAAAGAAAAGTTGCTGCAGTTATATAGTCCTCAACATGGAAAGGGTATTGAACAGTTGCAAAATATGCAAATACATCGACAGCTGCGCACACCAGATTCGATGCATGGTGTGAAATGTATCCTAAGGCACACTGACATAACAAAGCAGTTATCCCCCACAAAGGGCTTTAATGATCAGACTATATCCGCTGACTGCATAAACTTTAGCGGTCACGATGGCCAGTCATCACCATGGCAACAAAAGTTGAACACTATTGAAAGTCAGAATGCTAGGAGTTTGAGTAATTCATTGACTAGACACAGGAAGTGGTTAGAGGAGTTCAAATATCAAACCAATGATAGGTACACAATGACATATTTTGTATAGCGTTACAGTATTTTAGAATCACCGAGTTGCAACATTTTTGTTTTCAAAATTTTCTAGTGATCATATTCCACGTCAACCGATACTACTACCTTAATATCTGTGTTAATTTTTCTTTGATTTATGGAAATCTAAATTTTAATTAACATTCAATGTGGGGCAATCACTTAGGGCTTTTGTGAGCCTTTGAAATTTATCTGTTTTTACAAATGAAACAGCTGTCTCATCAATTTGTTCAAACATGTATTATTTATGAAAATTTGAAGAAAAAAAAATTATTCATTTAAGTATTTAAATTTGCCTTCACCCTCCTTAATAATTGTTGCCTGTTTGCAATGAATTGTGTCCTCCAGTGACGTAGCATTTTGGTGCCCTCAAAATAACATCACAGGGTAAATGTCATTGAAATATACAACTTTATTTGGTCGTGTTGTATATTGCAAAGCATTTAAAAATAGTATTTTTTTGCTATATGTTTACATCATGAAAGGGCTTTGTTGCTGGAGAGCATCATTCATAAGAAGATGTATGGACGTGCAATTTATTAAAATCTATTTTTGTATTTATCAACAGAGACTTGCTCCGCAATGCTCCCAACACTAGTTATAATAACTGGATGCCAGAACCGGGCTCTACTGAGAATATGTTACAAGCAAGCAAAGTGATTGGTTGAGAGAATTCAGGAAAGATTCTGGCCTTCCCTCCCAAAAATTAAGAAGTGCAGACAGCATGTATCCTTTCAATAATTGATTCTGATGTCATCAAGGTTTATAATATGTATCATAGACACTAGATGTAACATTTCTCATACAAATGTGATTTTGATGTGCAAAGTTACTGGTATGTCGAAATGTTCCAAGATGTTTTATCACATACATACAAAATCCCAAAAGATTTTAATTAGTTATGTTTTTCGTTGGACGATTTTGAAACCAAAACCTGCGTATGCTACACATTATGGCCAGGTCATAAACTAGTTAGTTTTGAATGAATTTAATACATCGTGTTTTAAAAACCGAGTCACACAAACGGCTTAGAATTTACAGTACATTTTCTTTTGTAACTCCATGCAAGTAAACGATAATATATAATCATTTTTTGATTTTCAAACAAAAACAAGTCCATCGTAGTACAGTAGTACTGAAATTATGTTGTGAACTTATTTGATATGCACAGTCTGTTTTTTAAAGCCGGTTACGTAAACTACCCGATACTCCAAAAGGTAGTGATTTGATGGATGTAAACTTGTAGCATATGCTCACAAACGCTTCTGTCATAGATTGTGACTTCTGTATAAAACTTTACTTTCCTTGACCATAGTCAACAGGAGCAACTACAGCTTTGGTTCGTCATCCACAGGACCCAAGCAAGCTTTTGTAGCGAGTAGCAGTGTCAGGCCTAGTGGGGCACCAACGCATCAACCACGGTCTGGTAAAGTTAGACTGGAGTTAGACGAAAATAATCAACTGCAAATACGACAGTACTGATGTGATGTCAAAGAAACGTGTTTTTGCAATCGAATGAACTAACTGTGTAATGTTTTATTCCGTCCTTGTGTCTAACTTTCCAAGATATCCGCGACGTCTACGCTGTAACCAAGAACAAGACTACCACATGACTTTAACGACAGTATTGCCTCTTAAATTAAAGTACAGAATGCTGAAAAATGCATTAGATTAATTAAATGTGTGACTTACTAAATACCTGAAGACTACTAACTGTTATTAGTGTTGACATAGTGGACTGATGTTTTCCAAGACTATCGTAGTCCAAACCATGTTGAATTACCGTGTATCTTTCATTCAGATAGTTATGCAAATAGTGGGAAGGTTGAAGCCCGGGAGTCAAACATCTTAAAATGTTATGCAATGACCCCAG